AAAGGAAAAAACACTTTCCTGCTGTGGAAGATTTCAATTCCTTCTGGTGGCATTCAGGAACACAACAACTTACAGGGAGGGCGACACAAAAACAGACCAGATTGACAAAGAACCAAGACTTTTCTGGGAAGGCATTGTCAAAACAAAACATCAAAGCCTGTCTAGCCTCGCTTGCATGCGACTCGTCCCGGGCGCCAACCGAGCGGTACGGCATATTTGCATTCAGTGTATATATTTATTTTACATGAATGTAAATAATTTTGTTACTGCTGATACAGTGTCAAGTCAAGTCAAGTCATCTTTATTTAGGCAGGTTAGCTCCATCAGCCGTAGCCTGCAACAGGTATCAAAAGGGGCCCTGCATAAAATTAAGACTACATGATAAAAAATTCAGAATTGAAAATTACCTCAAAGTTATGTACAAGGAGTTTAAAAATTGAATAAAAAGCTAATTTCATATCTATGAAGTACAATTTTTCTAGATCAATACAATAAAAGAGAACAATCAAAGTACATGTATATCTAAGTATTATATTGGTAGAAAACTAAGAGAGTTCCTAAAAATGGAAAGTGACGTGGCTTCTTTTACTGATGTGGGTAAATCATGAAAAAGAACCACACCTGAATCTAAATGTGTTTTTCCCTAGCATTAATTCAGGGTTTGGTAGATGAATGTCATTCCTTTGTCTTGTCTTGTATGTGTGAACAATGCAATTTCTAAAAAAATAATCCGATAAATATGGAGGAACTAAGTCACTTAGATGTAATTTTAAGAGCAGCTTCACCTAAATATCAACTAGACTTGGAAATAGTGAAAAAATCGAATTTCCTCAAACTCGCCCAGAATGAAGCCCTACGGGCACTAGTTACAAACTAAGTTATTGTTTTAAGTTCGATAAATCAAAAAAATTTTTTTACACAATATTTTCGTTTTGATGCCCCAAATTGGCCAAAATCGATCGAAAATGAGTGGCATATTCAGAGGCTCGTAAACTCAAAAGTAA